AATCTATAATCTAATTCAATCCACGATTAATAACTGAATGCGCAAGGAAAGTCTTCTTCTAAATGGGTGCAAAGATTTTTAATGAACTGCCACTTGCTGCAAGGATGTCTGCTAATGCAGTTGTTTTCAGGAAGATCATAAATAATTTTTATGCGTAACATAACAACTTATAAACATCTATATTTCTAAAGATGTAATTATCATCCAATATTTATTTTCTTTTTAAGTATATTTTATTGGTATCTTGACATTACTTCTTTCCTTGATCTTTACTTTATATCCCATACATTCCGTATTATTCTCGCTGTTCCAAGTAAATATGGTCTCTGTAACACTTCTACCGTAAGACCCAATCCTAGCTGTTTCAACAATTTAGCAAAATTCTTTGTCACTGTCCATATGCTCCAAAAACTACTGGTATAACATCCACCTTTTTTATCTTCCATATTCTTGCAATTTCATACCTCAGCTCAATGTAATTTGTGCATTTCTCTACTTCTTTCTTTTCAATACGGGTATCGAATGGGCAGGTTGGGTCTATTAATTTACAAATCTTATCTTTCTTTTCAATTACCGTAATATCAGGTCTTTTATGCTCCAACTTTTTATCAGTCTGTATAGGAAAGTCCCATAGAATCTTGCAATCCTCTAACTCAAGTACTCTCTCAGGCTGATGCATGTACCATTTCTCGGCCTTTTCAAACCCCCACTTTTCGGACAGCTTCCAGTGAATTACTTTTGCCACATTGTCATGCCTCCAATTCTTATACTCCTTCTTTGCTAGCTACGGACATTCTGAGACAATGTATGCCACTGTTTCATCATTATTATCATTATTATTACTATTGGTATTATTATTATTATTATTATTTTTGTCTGATTTCTATGCCTATCTTAAGGATTTTTCCAAGTATACAGGCTCTTCATATGATGGAACCAAGTATTTGAGACAATCAGTCTGTTAGCTGTACATCAGTCAATCAAATTTTCACCCGTCTCATTCCGCTGCCCTAGACCAAAAGGTCTAACTGCTTGGCCTTGTTTGCCCTACTTCCACATTGAAGTCACCTATCAAAAAACTCATATCATGCGATTCACACTGATTCATTGCTTTTTTCTATTGATCGTAAAATTTCTCTACTTCCCCTTCAGTGTTATTGGATATAGTTGCATAGCATTGCATCACTGGAAATGCAAATAGCCTCCCTTTTTGTCTCACCAAATATAAATCTTCTTGAGATACACTCTTTTTTTTATAAGAACACGAGCCTCAAAACTGGTCAAAAGTTAAGAACAAATTAAGCACAAGCTGAGGCTGAGCTTCTGCAAAATGCAACTTTGAAATACTTTTTTTCTCAAAATCGAGGATTTTTAGCGATACGTGGGTGCTTTTTCGGTGAATATTCAAATTTGTCAGCAAATTAAGGCTGCCTCACTTACTTTGTTGGCAAATGAGGCCTGAACACCTCCTTAGAGCGAAAAAGCTAGAAATAGCACTGCTTACACCCTCTTAATTTAAAAACAAATTAAGAACAATCCAGCCTCAGATTTTCGAAAAAATTAAGAACAGTCAGCCTGAACTTAAATTTACTGGTTCTTATAAAAAAAGATTGTTTACCAGAACCTGCATAAACTTTTCACACTCTCTTCATCCAAAAATGTTCCAACACCGCGTTTATGTTCCGTTCCTCCCGAGTATATAAACGTGATTCCTTCAAATACTAGTTTTCCAGACTTTGTCCATCTTACTTCACAGACTCCTAATACTTATCTTCAGTCGTATCATTTCCATTATAATGTTTTCCATCTTTCAACTTTGATTCATTGTCCTGACATTCCAGGTCACGATTCTTCTAGTAAAGTTAGTATTACGGTATACAATCACAGGGAGGCGGTCGGGTGTCACCCAGTGGCGTAGCGTCCGGGTATTCAAGGTATTCAGTGAATACCCCGAGATTTCTCAGAAAAAATATTAATACGACGTATAATTGTAATAAGTAAAAAATGTTTTGGGGCTATTGATTCTGTTTGAATTCGTTACCTCCGATATTCTACATTTTGTACAAGTACAAAATATCATCAAATTCATGGAAACAATAACGCTGCGAAGCATAGAGAAGCTGGGAGATCTTTGAAGCTAATTTTGAAGATTGAGCTACTTCATGTTGTATGGAGATCGGTCATGAATACGCAGTGAATACCCTAGCCCGTACTTTGACCAATCAAAATGCTCCTTTCCATGAATAATATTTGCCGTTAATCAGCTAAAACAATGGTTCTGTACGCTGCGAACTATGCAGCGTACAGCCTCAAAGTTGGTTCAAAATAGTCTCGTTATGAGATCGATATAAACAGTTAATGAACGTCGGAGCGGTTGGAGTGATGGAGCTGCATCGAAAACAGTAAACATGACTTAATTAAAAAACTATTGCAATGTCCGTATTACTGTTTTATAATCATTCTCTCATTTGACCACTAAACTTAATCTACCAACAGCAAAGTGGAAAGGAAAGGTAGGCTGCTACATAATACTACACTGACTCAGATCTGTTCCCTCTTGAAATGCCAATTTGTTATTGCTTGCCAATCAGGGATGTTTCTGTTTGTATTATGTGATCCTTTTCCGGTGTTCCAGAAGGCGTGGCCTCAAAAAATTTTCGACCACGCCCTTTTAAGCCCTCCCACATTTAAACTGGCGCGCGGTCCCTGGTATCTCATTTGCCTTCACCGCCAGTCTTCTGCTGGTTCCGCCATTGGCTATCTCTCGTACCCCCGAGTAAGGGACTCCATACCAGGTACTACCAGCCGGATCAGCTGGACCAGGAGCTCACAAAAAGGGAAGGGTCGACCTCACACTTGAACAAATCCATTGGACCCGCTACCCGTAAATAGGAATCTAAGATTGGCTATTTATTGTTCCGCTATTTTTTGGAAAATCAATCCACCCTTGATTGAAGATACTTTATGACCGCTCGCTTAGCCTCTGCCATCATGCAGTTTGCATTGTTCCATTTTTCACTTCTGCATGAACTATGTGGCGAAAATAAGAATACATTAAAAAAGGCACCATCGGGAGGTGTTCGACTTCTGTTTTCAACATTTTAATAAAGCATTTTAATGAAGAGAAAAGTTGCGCATTTTCCGGTAACATTTTGTCTCTAGATATGTTTTCTAAAACAGTAGTGACTCAATCTTTACAGTAAGGCAGTACACTTAGAACCCAAGGTATATGGTTGCCTTCTAAGCATCGCCTTTTATCTTACGATTGAAGTTTCAACAATTTTTTATAGTCTATATAAGTTGGTACAGATTATTGAGAGTAACATAGTTTTATGACAACAAATTCTCTGCCCCGAAGCGACTTTCCTTGAAAAAAGGGCGCCTTTCCTTGGACAAATATTTTAACAAAAACTGGCGTGGGCTTTCGGCTAACTTGCCTAGAAAAACTACAGTCGACGAAATAAGTCTAAGAGTAATGTGAAGCTCATTTCATCATCTTTTTCTTCTGGAGTAAATTCCTGCGAAAAACCTACTCTTTCAAGAGGTAGACTGCTCCTTGCTCTTTTAGGAGGGTGCATATGGTCATTTTTAGGTTAAAGGTCCTTATTGCAAGGGGAATATTCTAAGGGGCATTTGAGGTACATTTTTTGGGGAGAAAAGAGCACATATATCTTGTTAGCATAGAAATACTTTGCACCAACTTTTTATCTAGTACTAAAAGGTTTACAAATTACCGACACAGAGTTTTGGGGTTTTCTGCCCAAAAGTGCCAACACGCAGATAAAAACATAACGACTTAAAAAACTTACATATTTCTCAGCCTAAAAAGGGTTTTCAAACGCAAGCTGCTTGACAGAAAAGGTCAGCCTGAAAATAATTGAGATCCAAGGTCAGTCTTTGTGGAGGTCTACCGTATATACAGAAATAACGAATTCTTTTTATCGGACACTGTCCTCCAAGACTAACTTTACTTCGCCTCTTTTGCCTTGCAAAGTTAAATAGAATATATTGAGAATCAGTATAAAAGGCCAAAAGTCATAAGAAATTTAGTGTATTTCTGTTTGATAACCAATGCTATAGTCTTGACGAAAGTGATATTTCGACAAAATTTAAATAAAACAAAGTGCTTTGAATTCAATCAACTGTAAAAAGCCACAGTACTTTTTACCCAAAAGGCGAGATCATGGGCTTGCAAAAGAAGTTGCCAGAGAATGATTACTTGTTCTGAGAATCGGTATCGGAAAAAGTCATTTGGCATAAATAGAGTTCTCAAGTGTGACGTCACAAAAAACTATTTTTAGAGTTTCGAATTTTTACCACATAACATGAAAGAACACCATAAAATACTCTCATTTATGCAAAATCAGTTAAATTTGTCAAAAATCGGATGAGCTATGGCCAATAGAAGATTTGAAGTTTGCTAACGGATTACTGTTATTTTGGCTCAGTTCATAAAGTTATGAACTGAGACCAGATTACCGAGGTTTGATGGGGCCAGAGCTTGTGCTCATCTGGCCATATCTCAGCCAATTCGTAATACTTTTAACTGATTTTGCAAATTTAGAGGTACTAAATGATGCTCTTTCAGGTTATGGGGAAAAATTTTAAAAATTCCAAAACATATTTTTGTGACGTCATCACTTGACAACTCCATTAGTTGAACAAACTTATCAATTGGCCTCAAAATAAATATATAAAGTAAAAAAAAAAATTAATCAATCATTGAACAAAAGCATAGTGTTTTACAATCTTTGTTTTTGCAAATCAATTCATCAAGCCTTACTTAGAATATGGTTGGTGTCATTAATGATGATTGTGAAGTGATAAACTCAAACCAACTTTTGTTGGTATTTTTGCACTCAACAGGTGATCAAAATAAATTATTATGCATAAAAGTATGCTTAAAATCAAAACAGTGATTATTTTCATCCAAAAAGTTTCATCTCTGTCCAAATCTGCAATCTCTGCTCAATGAAAGGAGTCAAGAACAAATGAGAACATTTATCTAATATTTAAAATTGATATTAATTCATCTATGCATGCTGTTACTGCTCCGTTTAAAATCATAATTAAAATGTCATCCTAAAATGAAAAATTATTTTAGACTCAATTTACAATACTTTTTTCTAAAAAGAAGTTATTGATGCAACTATTAGCGTCATATAAACAGTAGTGAAGAATTTTATACAGTGATGAATAGAGAATAACCCTGAACGTCGAGCAAATAAAATCAACTAAAAATGACCATAGATACTACACTGTTAAATTTCGATATTTCAAGGTCTATAACTTGTTCTATAAAATATTATGTGATATCCTATTTTATGAAAAGCCAAATAGCTTTCAGGATTTGAAATATAGTATTCTCATTTCAAATGTAAGAATTTCGATTGGAGTCATTTAAAGAATCGTGGAGAAGGTGAAAAATCTGGTTCGGATATCCGATTAACCCCGAGTCATACACGTCAAGGAATTTTTTGACTGCATCAATGAGTCACAGGTCGCCTAGGGTCAAGGATCGGTCTCCTAGAAGTATGACATCTAGCAATGAGAAATGTGTCACTTTTTAGAACAACTGGGGCATTTCTATCACCTAACGGGACATTTCTATCTATTTATCTAATCCACCCAACATCGCGGCAATAGCCACTTTCTACTGTACTCATGTTTTATATACATAGCTAGGCAATGCTACCATATTCTAGTCCATGTCCTAACAGACAATATGCAATGTATTCTGCTAGAAGATCATACGCTATACAATAATTGCCAAGGTATTCAATAGACTGTGGCTGTGGAATGAATGATGGTTTAAGATGTTGGTTGCAGCACTAAGTATTGTAGCTAGGCCTAAGGGTGTTCCTCACTTTCTCTACAAGTCTACAGAACTAGGTAGGTAGAAGAAGTTTGTCCTTTTAATTAGAAACAAAGGTCACTACGACTGTTAGGCATTTGTTTACAACACGAACTAGCGATGCCTGCATAAGCAGAAATCGTTGCCTTAGGCATTGCAAGACATCGCGATGTGAGCTAAGGTTGAGGAGGAGATCGAGAAAAATAGTCTAGAAACAAGAAATAGTAGATTATGTCTGCACACTTGCACATATGCACAAAAATTGGTCCTTTGGATGTACGCATGCGCATTTGTACTTAATGATGGACTATGATGGTACGCATGCGCATTTGCATTAAATGATGGGCGATGATTGTACGCAAGCGCACTTGCACTCACTTGGTCAATAAATTTACAGGCATGCGCACATGCACTTAATGATTGCTTAAAAATGTGGGCATGCGCACATGCACTAATTGGTGGAAGAAATTTGTTTCATTATCGCTATCGAGCCAAATATAGGGACTGGCTGAATATGTTACATTCCCTTCCAACATGAGGATATAAGTGACATTGTGTTGATTATCTGAAAGAATCTTTGTCAAATTACTATTCCAAGTAACAAAATCAAGTAACAAAATTGTTTGAATAATCATGCGAAGCTTGAAAAAAACAGAACTTGATTAAGGCTTGGGTGAAATGTATGATAAAAAATCTACGTAATACATTAAATTATTAACAGCATATGAATGTTTGGCAATAATCATTTAGAATAAACAACTAACAAAATGCTAAAATTACATTATAAATATTTTAGGGAGACTGCTCCAAATTAATATTGCAAAAATGCTGCTGAGGTCGAAAAGCTCCTGAAGAACGTGAAGTGGGTTTGTTTAGGAAACAGCTACTGTATAACCCGCATTGGGTTTCAGAAAACTAGAAAAGAATTTAGATTTCTTTCGAATTTACTCAGTAATCATAAACATACTACAAAGAGCACTGCTTTTAGATATTTACAATATTTTACAATATTTTGTCATTGTTTTGACAAATGCAAAGTTAGCCCGTTAAAACCTCAAAAGGTGGCACGCGGTAGGAGCATTTCGTTGATCTCTAGTTACTCTGGCTACCAACTGGCATACAGCAAACCGTTGCTATACGGCTAACCATTGGCATAGGCTAAGAAGTTAAATTGACTGCCATGATCAAAACTATCTATAAATACCAACAAATACGTCTTTTTAGATTCATGAAGTTCCCAATCTCCTTTGCATTTCCATTTCTAAATCTTTTCGTGAGTATAAACCATTATCTTTTATTTCCTAGAAAAATTGTTTGCAAAATATTGAACATCATGTGGAAATAGATACATCTTAAAGATAAACAGGTATGATCAAACCTGAGATGCGAACAGGGTCAGTCAATATTAATCTTTTTTGCTCTGTAATACGGATTCACTTACGCAAATATTGAATCACCCACGCGTGGGCAGTATTCACATATAAATTGCTTCTAGAGTATCAAAAACCAGGTTGAAAAATTGAACCAACAAAAAGAGGTTTGCGAGACATCATATCTGCAATAGTTTGCAAACAGCAGGGTTAAGATGACGCACTTCTGCTCGAAAGCGTCAATTATTTCAAAGGACCATTGAAAAAACTAGAGGTGCTATCTCAGTTTGCTGAAAGTACAGTTTAAGGAGGAAATGAAGGTAACCAATTAAGGTGGAAATGTACCTTTGCAAGGTCATCCAATTCAATATCAGCAATATTGACCAAACAAGACAGGGAGTCTTTGATGAGGAAATCATTCTTGTGGATTCCTGTAAAATTAATTTTGCTTTGCTTAGAATAAATATTAACTGGTAAGGATGTCAAGCATTTGAATCAATATATTCTCAGCGCAAACTGAGCTATAGTTTGTCTTTAATAGAGTATGAGCGTAAAAATAATGATAATATGCAGTTGTGACAGCTAAAGTGGAAGGAGAAATACAAGAAACAAGCAATCAATAGCACTTCAGTAAAAGGAATAGAATGTTTAATCCAAATAAATCTTTGGTACCGCAAAATGCGAAAATAGCACAGAAGGGCCGAAATATATCATATCATACTAAAGTACTTTTCGTCTGACACTCGTCAGATTGTGAACGTCGGATAATGTCCAAAGGTGAGCAGAAGATTTACATCCAATTGCAGATTGCGGTACCAAAAGCTGATTTGTTTCTTTGTTATTCTTATTATCACGGTCCAAGAAGAACCTTATATTGCGCATATCAACAACCACAAGATCGTCGATTTTGCATCACTTATTTGCCATGTCACTTACGTGCAAAGACTACGACAGGTTATCTTCAGGGTACAAATTATTATAGGGCCTGACTATACACCCTGTCACTTCTCACCCTATCGTCGTAGAGTTCGGTACGTTTCTGGCATATGAAGATGCAAACAGGAACTTACCATTAGCGAAATTTCTTTCGAGCCAGCTGTTGATGACTTGTAGTTTTTTAACTTCACTAACCTGTGAAAAATTTAGGGTTCGTAAAGCAAATTGCAAGTGATGAATAAGACGGAATGGAGCAATAGCAGACATTTGGCGTAGGATTGAAATGAGAAAAGTACTGAAATTGTCAGTCAAAGTTTTGACGTCCACATCCTGTGGAAGTGACATTCAGGAATCATGGTACCAGAAAATCGCTGACAGGTTTAGGACGATTGGTACAAAATCTTTTACCCAAAATAAAAGTCTGCCCAGGCCTGTGTAGAATAGCTAGAGACCAGTCTATTAGGGGACAGCAAATTCGCCATCGTTATGGAAAATCAAGGAACCATCGAGGAAAATATTAACATGGTAACGGGTTGATATGCATCTCTACTAGAAAACCTCCCTTCAGTCTAATTTGTTATTTAACCCCTGTATTACAAAATCAAAGGTTAAAAGAAACAGCTCATGGAAAAGTTCTGTAAACTTGTACAAAGTGAGGAACACAAGCAGTGTGGGTTGAGTTCAATCCACCTATAGATCAATGGTCATTGGTCCTTGAAAAACATTACTTTTCTGATTCAATATTTTTTCCTTGCATTAAAATTTCAAGAACTCAAAAAAACTCTCTTTCTAGTTTTCTATAATTCACAAATCTTTCGCCATAACACAAAGTGACAGGCTAACTGTTTAATAACCGTACACGTTAGTTAAATGGAGATAAACAACATCTACCTTTATTTTTGAAAACTTTGAGAATATGAATTAAGTTTTTGAAAAGTTACATAATATTTTAATCATGCAAACATGCGGAATTAAGAAACATAACAGTTTTGAGCCAACATAAACCTTATGCAAAATAAATTGGATTGGATTTATATCTCATTGAAAGGCCGAATAGCTGAGAATATTGAATTCATAAATTATTTGAGAGTTTGGAGAAAAAGGTTTTGCGGGCACTTATGAGGCATTATTTAATTATCTTTACAAGGCCAACGCGTAATCTAAGGCTTAAGAAGAGTCAGTATCAAAGAGACATGTTTGTATCACAAGGTCAAGTTCACGCCGTATATTGTTGAAGGAAGGGGAGGATAATTATACATGTTTGCTCACGGGCTATGTCGTTTCGATTAATTTCATACTTTCTTAAGAGGGAGAATAACGAGGTATCGATTGCTTCCTATTCAGTACAATTTGGAACATAGCTTGCAATTATCAAGGGGGCATCACCTACTCCAAACCCCTTGCTTCCCACGGTCTGCTCATAGTCCACAGTGCTTTTTGATTCTCGACGTTTTCATTCAAAATGAAATAGGAACCCCAAGTAAACACAGTCCCTCGTTTGTTTATTTAAGATAATAGTCAAAGATCTTTTAACTCTGTTTAAAACTTTTCCCTGAAATAAGTGCTTTGCCACAAAAATAGCTCCGACTATGAACAAATATATATATAGAGTTAAAAAATATATACCTAGGCATCTGTTGCCTGGTGATCGTATTAAGCGTGAAACTCGGAGTTGCAACTTAGAACCGTCCTGTTCTTTGCACCAAGGCGTAAACAGCCCTGCCTATACGGCATCGAGTACAATATGACAGACAGGCAAAACTGTAACTTTGATTACCTAGTTGAAACATACCTAACGAATCAAGAACCCAGTCTTTCGCTTCAAATATATCGAAGGTGAATTATGCATACATTTTACTACAGAAACAAATGAATTAACAAGAAAAAAAACAAAAGAAGCCTTCAGAAACGAACCTTTAGCTGTAGGGAAAGCACCATTGACAAACAGTCTTCTGATAACGCAGCGACGTCGAATGATTTGAAAACCTCTTCTGAGTTACGTTCTATGTACTGCAGAATCTAGGAAAGAATAGATAAAAAATAACGGAAATCTGCTCCAAAAAAGATCAATTTCTAACAAAGCTTTTGGAAGTGTTAATTATTAAAAGCAGCAGTCTGGTCCTCTTTAAGGTATTATACAATGCTCTAGGGAGGGAAGGCATTTTTCCAAGCTTCAGTCCCAAAGAAAAATACAGTTCTCATTGTCTTATTGTATATTGCTTTATTGAGAATATCAATAACCATCGATATTAAAGAAAATATTTTCTCTTTACATTTACAATATTCATTCAATTCTTTCGCTATCCTTTTTAAACTTATTTTAAAGTTTCCAAAATTATTCAAAGAAATCTTTGATAACAATAAAGGACATTTTATATCTTCGAAATTTACAACTGATCGTCAAGAAAACCTAAGCAGAATTTCACGTGAAAATTTGAAAACAAATTGAATTGAATGAATCTTTGCAAAAAATATCCGTAAACGGTTAAAAAATACAAAATGTGTTTCAAAATTGAGGTCTAGAGTGTGAAGAGCCATTATGAGGCAAGCCGACATTTTTTCTTGATAACTGCTGTGAAAATACTGACCTAGCTGAGTATGAAAATGTGTATAATACCAAAACATAAGGGGAAGATTGTTTACATTTGTTATGATCAATTGAAGCGGTTGCTCTACAATTTGAAAGTTCTCATCAACACCCAAGGTATTTCATTCACCCTATTTTTCATAGCTCCCGTGAGCAACAGCTTGATAAAATGACTGCGTTCAAATAGATAGATTCTTGGCTATGAGAATACGACCAAATCTATAAATGTATTCACCTTTAATTGGATCTCTTGTGCTATCGTGTAGCTTCTGGTGTATTTGCGCGTGGAAACCAACAGCAGACATGCCTATGAAAATATCTTGTAAATAACGGCAATATTTTCTAATTTGAGAATGTGAGCTAAGAAATTTTAAATTCTGTATAGGTCAAAAACTTTCATTTTTGGAATATGAGTCAATAACATGCAAAAACGTACGAAATTATAAAAAGTTATCGATGAAGCAAAGGTAACTCAAAAAGGCTTGCTTACATTATTTGGATAAATAAGATCCTCGAATGAACGCAGACAAGACTGAGCAAGAGGCTCAACCTCGTAATGGTCAGCAATACAAAGCAGGCTTGGAAGTATTTCTGGGTAAATGATGCAAGTTCCCGTATGTAAGTATTCCAGGAAGACGCTAAATTCCTCTGGTTCAAATTCTGTAACAAGGCACTAAAAAGAAGGAGTATAAAAAGATTTTGATCTCATTATACATACTAACAAATGTCTTCAATGCCTACCAAGAATTATGCAAAAATTATAAGTAAAGTTCAGTCAGCCCCTCTCCCCCCATTTAACAGTGTTGGTTTACAAAAAAGTTATGTATTATGCCAAGAAGCTTGTCTTCTGCGTTTGGCCAAACGATTTAAATTGTGAAGCGATCTAAGAATGTTTTTTTCATACGACGATTTTCATACGACTAAAACTGGAAATATGTTTTTCGTCCAGTACAAGACATTATTTGCAATCAGTTCAAATGGTTATCGATAAATTATACGCGTTCGGTGTCATATAGGAATACAACACTCAGAAGTTGTAAACAATTGATGTACACCGCTACTCTCCAACCTTTAAACTTTATTGGAGCCTCTGGATGGTTTGATGCGATAGTTTTCAACATTATGACCTCAAAATTAGGCGCCGACTTTTGATATTCCATGGGGTGGCGTTTGAGCCGAAATGAAGATGTTGTTATAACAAAAGGTTTATATCATTCGCAAAGTTGGAGCGAAAGAAGCAGCGAAAATTTTCACACATTGAGGTAATTTTTAGTTTATTCAAATATCTATTTGACTTTTGCAGTACATATTTTGTTTTTAAAAATGTTTAATGCACTTGTCTTTTTTCCGAGTATGATAAGAAAATATTTTCTCATAAGATATAACTAAAAAATTCCACTTGGAGTGGCTTATTCGGTTTGTAAATATCTCGAGATACCTCAGTGACACTTGTTCGTGTGGCGGCCTCCTCTTCAATGTTTTTGAAACTCTGACTCCTCTTTTTCAGCCTCTCAAACGACAGCTTTTTCTTCAAACCGGATGGAACAGATGGTGATGACGTAGATTTATTAAAAATGGCCTTCTTTCCTAATTTGGGTGACGAATTCGGCGTGCTTCGCGTAGAGCCGCTGTCGTAAAACATCTCCTGAAACACCCTGCAGAGAAAGAGTTTAAGACTAGACAGATTCGACACCTTCAAATGTCACGCGGATAAACATATTCGCCAAACTAAAAAGCAAAGCTATGTTGCAGCTGCAAAAACGGAAAAGCTCTTAAAGGCACTGTCCCGTCAGTCAACCGCTCAGAGTTAACAATAACAATTTATGGTCGAAAAGACATCGAGAATTAGCCTTATATTGCCGATTAGGTTCGGAACAATAGGTCAACTGCATAGTCAACCCAATGGGAAATTTAAATAGCCATTGAAATGCGTCGGGAAATAGTGCCTTCAAGAAACTCAAAACGAGACCAAAAGAGACACAAGTTGATGTATGAATTTTGCAACGCTGATGTAAAAATAATTTTTTTTATTTACCCTTATTTCCTATTTAAACACAATACCCTATCAGCTATTTAACAAATTAACTTAAAGAAATAACTAAAGCTGCTCTTCCAAGGGGTCGTGTTTGCATCGCTCTACCTCAACAACTCCTTTAATCTTACTTTAAAGGAGCTCAATGAGGCAGTATCTCGTATTCTAACAGGTTCTTTGGAAGCTTTACGTCTGCCTGTTTTTATACATGAACCTGGTCTCATACAAACCCAATTAAAGTGAGTTTTTAACTGATGGAAAATGTGAAATGGTCCGGTATTGGAACACTACACAAGACCTAAATTGTCTTGGGACCAATCTATGGAACAGTCATCACAAACAACGTATTCTAAAATAAACAATCCTAACTGTTAGTAAGGAGCTGTATTAGTATATAAGACTCCTTAAGAACAATGACTCATATTGATATGATGTTTTTATAATGTTGGTATTTCATTACAGTAAAACCAACTAACTTGCTTTTGGCCGCCAAAATCGCTTTCACTGCCGGAAGGGACTTCTGGTTTGCCATTCCTAAAAAGAAGAAAATTACGAATAGTTTTCAAGAGAAGGAAATTTATGGCTTTAAAAGCTGGTCCACATCAGCCCACGATCCAGTTTATGGCAGTGTCTCTCTGATGGCAAAGTCAATATTTACTCATTTTGTAGCAATGATTTTAGAAGACAAAAAACTTTTATAGTCAAAAACTGGGTTATCATCGACTTGCTGTTCTACTTATAATGACCTTCATATTGCGATACTAATTAATTTTATCGATATTCAACAACTTATATAGGAAATATAAAGAACGCTTGGTGTAAGGAGTATGACGGTTCTAAGTTGCTACTCCGAGTTTCACGCTTAATGCGGTCATCGGGCAACCGTCCTGCTCTATGCACAAAATAGTGTGCACAGCGCCAGGGAGCACTTCATGACAGACCGGGGGAAACAAACATCTTCATGATATATCAAGTATATAAAAGGCCTTACCAACGACAAAGCAAACGTCACAGGCATAGCTAATACTGCCATTGAATGCGGAAATCAAGTCTTTGTGGAGCTGATCAGTGTCATCAAATGTCTGGTGAAACCAATCAGGAAAAACCTGCAGCCTGTCGAAGGAAAGATTCCAATAACTTCATGTTTAATCAAAATCAGCTCGTATCCAAGTATTACTATAAAGGCAAACATTTTTATCATTATCTTTTCTTTCTATTATGTGCTACGTTCACAACAGAACCATTACAAAACTACTCGTACTAGCACAGCCAAAGATTGGGACACAGGAGCCAGATTTTCGAGGCGGATTTCGACCAACAGTCCACTCTAACCTTCCCACTTCAAATAATTTTGGTTTCCTCCCAACTATACTTAACTAACGACTAAAAGGTGGTAAATCCTAATAAAGGTTAAAAAGGTTAAAAAAAGTCGTTCATTGAAGTTTGGTGTAATTTTCAAAACGAGTCCATGAACTGGTAAATGAATCCCTATGGAACACCACAAAATTTGCGGAGGGACAGGTGTAACATAAAGAAAACTAAGTACTTGCCTTTTGTTATTCCCTTCAATTGCTGCTCTTCCATTCGATTTACTGATGAAAACAAGAAATATTTAAAAACAACACGTCATCGTCAGTTTCGGTTTTAACAAAATCTTGAGGGTCAATACAGAAGGGAGTGGTTCATTAGCCCAACAATGTTGATATTTGCTAAAATTGGCTGAACATAAATTGAAAACAGTATCAGTGTTTGTCTGACACACTATATGGTTTTGTAAATAATTCCAAATATGTATAATTTCAACCAAAAAAAGAAAATTAACAACATCAATTCTGCACAACTTTGTAGCAAAATGATTGAGTTAATATTTTTTTGCAGTCCCCTTTGGGTTAAATGAAAAATAATAATTCCGCTTCAAATCAACATGATCAGTAAATATCTTATGCAAAAACTAGCTCCTGGTCGAATATTTAGTCATTTGATGTCACTCGCGTCATGTTTACAGATACAAATAAATCAACATCTAAAACAGTTCAATGGAAAGAGTTGGCTTGAGAGAAACGGCAGTCGCTGCCACTAAAAATAGTTTAATGATCATGTCCCTTTTCATGCTGAATCATGCATGCTGCTGACATCTCCTGATGATCAAGAGATTGTTGATCTTGGCTTTATAAGCATAGGTTCCAAATCTTGGATTGGCTGAGCGACCAAAATTCTACATACCCTATTAGCTCTAGGCTTCATATACAAAGCAAAGAAAGTCTTGCGTCAAGACAGAAAAAAACAACACACCTTTGATTGAAAAACTTTTGCAAGGGACTGTTTGCTTTATCCTTTGGTTTCATGGTTAAATGGTCACTACTCACTTCCTCTGTAATCAGTTCATCAAGCATTTGCCTCCTTGTTCTTTCCTATATACAAATATATCACAGATCAGGTGGATGCCAGCATATCACAAGTCAGGTGAATCCAGATATACCCCAAAATATTTTAATTAAGAGAAAAAAGGAATTGGAAAGTCAAGGAACGGGCAGTTAACTCACTATTTAGCTAAAAACACAAAACATGTCTAAAATTTTAGCCATATGCATCAAACATTTCACGAAACGATGTTAAATTTTCAAGCGCTGAGGGAATTCTTACTCTTTTTTCTTTTTCTGCCTTGCTCGGTGGTAAAAATCAGTTATCAAAATCGGTGATTAAGATCATAATAGAAATTGTATGCAATTTTTTGACGTGTTTTTCGCTGACTTCTAAAACATTGAAACCCGGTATTGCTCTCAAAGTTTACTAAGATTTTCAATGCACTTGACCACCCTACCAAACAAATTATCGAACCTTGTTACCCAAATTTCATTTCTTCTCGCTAAAACCTATTATTTTCAAATGTTGCATGCACAACATAGAATTTTGCCTTAGCACAGGAATTCTTTATACAAGTACAAATGTTTTCTAATTACAGGCGCCCAAATTGTAAGTATATAATGAATTCGCATGCCACAAGTGGATTCAGTTTTATACATTTGTTCAAACTCATACATAGTTTAAGTAACTTTGCCTATTCAATATATCAATAGCACTTGACAGGATATCAAAGTGTACTGTTAAAACTCACACGAGCGACCTAACCCCCCTCCTTCCACCCCATTTAGAAATTTGCGGTAATCACAGACCGAAGAACAACAACAACAACAACAACAACAACAACAACAACAACAACAACAACAACAAGAACGTGTAGAACAAACTTAGCCTCACATATACCTGCATTGCTGCGAATTTTGGCGATCTGTAGCTGGCTCTTTCACCATTAACAATCTTGGTCATCAGCCAGTTTTTGAAATCTTCATCCTGATAAAAGTAACTCACTTATTTCATAAAAACCTCCACTGAACATAGGCGAAGACAAGATTTTAGCTAAGAACTGTGTAAGACACTTACTCAATGGGAATTTACCTCTCTAACGGAAATATAATTAACGTTTTCAGTGAAAAGGACTCAAAGCAGATGAATTTTTCAAATAATCAAATAATCGAAAATTGGACACATTGCACAGTAGACTCATATTAAAATAATATTAACGGCAAAATTACAGAATGTCTTCGGTGCCATAAGGCTTTCAGAATTGAGAATAGTGAAACGATTTTAATTTGAGAATAGTAGTCTTTTACCCAAGTCTGTAAATCTGAAAAACACACTTTCTGAAACTATTTATACCTATACCACTTCCAAATGTCGGCAAATTAGGAATATTAATAAAATTCATATCCTCTGTAATTGTAAAATATATCAATAAGATTTTAAATCATGAAAGAAGGAAACGCTTTTCAGCAGTCTATTGTTGGTCTTATCTTGGTCTTATCTTGGTCTTATCTTGGTCTTATTGTGTTTCAAAAAAGATTTCAAATTAGTGGCGAAAATTCAGGCTTTCATTTAGGGGGTGGGGTGTTCAGATCCACGATGTACCGACAAGTTAACATCTTAGATGGGCTTTCGGCACTTTAAACATTTGTCAATTATCCGACGAAAGGCCGAATTCTCCGAAGAGAACGCTGATTGGGGGGCCTAAGCCCATCACCCAACCCTCCACCCCCGTGCCATCATAATTTCTGCCACTGTAGATGAACATTCTAGACACATACGGGATGTAGAAATTATAACATTATTCAGAACATGACTGAAGAAAGACTGTATATTCATATCCAAATACTGAGATGCGAGTAAATCGATATTCCTTTTTTCAAATGTCGTTTTTTTCATGCACAGATTTTAAAGATATATGTTAAAATGCTAGGCATAAGAGCTTTCAGTTTCAACTTTTCTTTTATTATGCGAAAACATTTATCCCGGTAGAGGCAAAAAAGGAAACAAATGTGCCATAAAGACATTAGAAACACCACAGCTTCCTATTTCCTCTAAAATTCTCTTGATAAAGAATCCATGCAATTAGATCTATTTCAATGAAACCGTATCAGAGCAAACTCAAAGACCAGACAGTCTGAGACCTCCATACTTGAAAGAATGTAGAAACTAGAGAAAGACAACCCTCGTGGCAATGGAATAAAATATCATTTTCTACTATACCCAACCGAAAGCCCGCCGCCATAGAACTTAAATCTCAAGTTTAGGTCAAAAGTATAAAAAAGAGTGCACGGACTGGTTTACTACGAAAGATGAGCAGAGCAATCGAATTTTACCAATGACAACTGATGCTTCTCCAAATTGGTAAACGATATTAGAAACAGCCGCTATGAAAAAAGTTACCTCGTTAAAGCATCCAGAAGTGGGTAGAGGTGGTCCAAACGGCAAAACCAAACCTCGTGAAATGACAGCAACCTGTCAAAAAAGACAGGAACTCATTATCGACAAGCCAGAAAAAAAATTTCAGCAGCAAAGAGGTAACTGTACACCTGAACATAACTCTCCTTCTGTACATGATATAAAGATTTCAACGACATATAGTTAGTTGAAGGTTTGCTGAACAAAGGTTTGCAAAAACAGATTCAAATCTCGTTTAAACATAGGAATAAGCAAGATATAATCTGAGAACAACTTGAACGCTAAAAAGGAATCAACAATAGATGTTTACAAAGAAAAACATGAGAGTTAAGATCCATATTTATATAGAGTTAACCCAAGTACGAATATAAACCAATGAAATATAATTACATCACAGAAATTGTACATGCTCACATTATTTCACAGGGACCGTCAATAAAAACATTTGATAACAAAAAATTATGAAGCCCTGAAACATATCAATCTGTACCCTAAAGGGGTTGTGTCACAAGGGACATCCCGCGTGGCACCACGCCAGTTGAGCGAAAGTTGTTTAGGTGAAACAACCGGCGTTCAATAAAAAAACCAATATGGAATAAAACAGTTTTTGTATCCGTGATCATCGTGCGAAGCTTTTGCATTTTTGGATGTTTTATTAAAGGAAACGGATAATAAAGGTTCTTTCTTTAGTCTTGTCACCATATTTCTTTGGATAAAGGATGGCGATGCAGAAAAACAAAGGCTACTTTTACAGCCTTGATACAGCAACTCGAAGGGAGCAGTTGATAGAAATGGGCCGAAATGACACCAAAAAACCTACCTTACCGGTGCAAATTATGAGAGGAAACATTTTTTAAAGTTTGCAGGACAATTTTGGAGTTATCGCTTTGTAGTACAGTGGCTAATGCCATCGAAATTCACAAAGAGAAACGAAATGTCTTCGCCATTGATTGAATAAAGCTTCATTTCCTTAGCCTAAACCAATTGCTTCAAGCATTTCGTGTCGATAGTCAGGACAAAGATGGAAATAAGCAAGTGTCCATTCCATTTTCGTTTAGTACTCTCAGAAAATACAATTTATCGAACTTATTGAAGCACCGGAGCAACATCCGCCATTATTCCAATGTGCAAAAACGCACAATGTCCCGTGTAGTTAGTTTGTTTACAAAACTGTGACACTGTTCGAAAAAAATACTTTTCAAGATGGGGTATAAATAAGTTCATATTTTTTCGTTATTTTTTCATATGTTTTAACGACTGATGATTTTTCGTTATATTACGCTTTTGTGTTACTTCTTACCTAAAAGTCAGCTCTTTAAAACAATGGTATTGCCGAAACCTTTTAAAAAGTTTAAGGTCTTTGTGCAATTGCAAAAATAATAGAAACAAGTTGTATTGTGCAGATTTCGTCTCTCCCTGTTGCAAACGTTTCACCCTGAGGAAAGTGAGGAAGCAAGAAAAACATAATTAGAAGAAAAGAAGGGAAGACAGGAAGAAGCTAAATGAGTGAGAAAAAAAGAGAGGAAAAGACCGGAGATAAAGAAGATGAAGCAAAGAAGAAAAGAGAAAAAGAAGGAGGACGAATAATTTGAAAAGAAGAAGAGGTTGAAGAAACGAAGAAGATCTTGAAAGGAAAAAAGATGGGGCGGCGATGGAAATATCGAGAGAAGCAGAAGAATAAGCAATGAAAGCGGAGAAGGAAAGAAAGAAAAGAAGGAAAGAGAAGGAAGATGCAGGTTAACAGGCAATGAAAGGAAAGAAGGTTAAACAGGAAGAAGTAGGAGAAAAATGATTGGTAGTAGATAAGGAGAAAGAGTTCCAAGCGGAGAAGGAAAGAGACAAAGAAGAAAGAAAGAGAAGATGAAACAAAGATAGAAAACAGGAAGAAGCAGGATAAAGACAAGGTAAATACAAAAGGACAAAGAAAACGAAGCAAGATTTGACTCTTTGCTCTAAGTCGTTTTTTAGCTATATGACCAATAGGAAAGAGAACTGATCAAGAACAAAACAAAAAAGGTCTGGAAAAAGTTTATACAAGTAACTCTATGCAAACCCAAAAGAGAATGTTACACATAGGCCAAAATATCAAGAAGGGAAAGCGGATTGAAACAACAAACCTGGTACTGGCTGACTTTGTCGTTGTTGTTGATGTTGATTATCGGTCTGATAACAATATAAACATGAAGAAAATTTGACTTGATTGCGCTTGGCCTGAAAATGGCCCTTGGGGAGGAGAGAAACACCAAACACACAATGTCATTGCCAATATGCCTTTTTCGTTGCAACTAAAAGTGACAAGCAGATTCGTAAAGAGAAAAATTGGCTATAAAACCTTAGATTCTATGTTAAAGGTAATGTGTCCAGCTAAAGAAAGCGACACTGTGGGGGTTTTTAGAAACATGTGATTTTTCATGTCATCGCCCCAGCCATTACGGTCGTTTGTTTATCTATACTGCTGCGAGGTTAGCTTTTCATGTAAGCAGTTTTGCATCCCAAGAATACTAACCAATTGCAAACCGTTATTGTGATGGGTGGCTTGACAAGTTGGGTATACGCAGTTCTTTTATATGGACACATTACCTTTAAAGGAAGTTTAAAAATCACAAAATGTTATCAACAACCCACAAACAGCTAAGAAGTTTGTAGTGATCTTAATCAAGACTTTCTCTAAACCTAACTTTAAGTGTTCCACATACATTGGCCGTCATGCTTTCGCAGCCCTTTGTCACCTTGCTATCTTATTGAACGCAAACGAAGGTTTTTTTGGCCCGCCAGAAAACGTCGTTTAAGGATCAACTAAAACAAACAAACTCAACAGAGGATTGCTTAATATTTGTGGAAGATGATTCTTTTGGTAATTCCCCAGTAATAGGTATCCTGTATAGAACCCTTTATTAGGGTGATTCCAAAACAAAGTCTTGAAGTTAGTCCACTTTTAGGCTAACGTCTTCTTCCTCATTACGCTAGAATTTTCACACTGCAAAGAAATGGGTAAATAAACTAAAAAAGGGACAACATCAGCGTCACTTAGGACTGCTTTCTCTTTTCTTTGTGTGGCTACATTCTTTCTTTACAAACTAGACAACTCGGCCCTCATCTGAAGACTTAAAACATACCTTTTGGTCATCGTGTTCATCTGTTGGTAATAGAGTAGAAACGTGGAACATGAACTCATTTTCATTCCATCTAGAAAACACGGCTTTGTCCCCTGTTAGATCGAACTGCGTGTCGAGTCCCCCGCTAAAACCCGTGAATCCTCTCAATTGGATCTTTTCGCCGAGGAACTCGAGGAAATTTTCAAAATCCAAAGTGTGATCGTTATTGGTGAAGAATTCTTCCTCTGTTTCTTGGCCATCCTTTATGAAGAGTAATCCAACTTTGAATTCACTCTTGTGCATTATCTGCCAAAATAATAAAAAATAAAGGCTTTGAGGTAATCAGATATTTTTGATTCAAATATTACTTCTATACAGCCAATGAAATATTAACTTGAAGCTTGTAAATAAGCATCTTGGGGATCCTTTTGCATAGTATGTCTCAGTTACCAAGTAGCAGTGTCTTTTTAACTATGGCAGCATACGTCTGACCTAGCCATGATGAATTTATCGATCTGCTCTAGCCAAAACACACACAACATCACACTCATAGAATTCATAAACTGGATTTCAGGGCTTGATCTAATGAAACACATCTAAGCAATTACAATTGCCTAGAATCTGTCTGCCGGAAGACTGATTTCTAAGGTAACTTAAACTGATAACAGACTTCAACGCAGCTTAGTCACAAAAGGTGTGGCTTGATCGACCTAAAAGCTCTACAATTTTAAATTTCCATCAAAATCAAACAGTCTGGCGAAAAAAAATTGATGTTGGTGTCTTTCTTTTCGAGATACATTGGCGTCGGTTCAATGGAAATTTAGCCTTGAAGGTGAAACAGAAATGAATCTATTGTTTGGAAGCATCTGGACAGGGCTAAACCACATTGCAGAGATACAAGCTCGTCTTGTGCCTATAGTTTGATTTTGCTAAAAATACTGCTATCTATCAGCCTAAAATTAACTGGGCTAGTTTGAAAAATATCGATAATTATGTAGCAGATTTTCGTTTGCCACCTGCAGATTTTCGTCTTGTGCTAATTCTGCCTCACATTATCACCTTTCTTCCAGCTTAACATAGTTACTATGAACAAAAGACTTGATACTTGAAAAAAGATTCTGAGAATTACTTTTGAATTCGCGCCCTCTTTGAAAGAGTACCCACTTTAAAAAATCAAAAATATAACAATATCCTCCATAGCCTCACGAGCAACCTCCCATCAACTGTGCAACTGTGTGTTCTGATGGAACAGGTGATGGTCATGATTATGATGGTTTCTTAGCATGGAGATAGGTGAGCTTTATAAGCAGGGGTGGATGGCAGAAACAAATAATTAGAAAATAAAGGCAGAGGGATGACAGGATCTGCTCATGCTGTATATTAAGGTGACAGATTTTACTAAATGAAAAGTTAAAAATATAATAAAAAGTGTCCTTACTGAATACTCTATGATAGTAGAGCAATAGAAGACAGATGAGCATGAAAAAATATTTAATGTGTCCAATAACAGACAGATTTCCTGGCACCTCACACAAAAATATTGAGGAAGTTGCAAAGTTCAAACATTGAAAAGAGAGGTTGTACCTATGGGTGGTGTATCTGAAAAAGCTTGATGCATAAGGCTTTCGGTTTCAACCTTTGTTGTTTTCAGTTAACTGCATCTGTCATGTTCCCATAAAACAGGTGCCTAGGCAATTGTTCACATAATGAACATGAAATCTTAATGAAATTTGATCTTAATATCACCTGGGTCATGCTAAATCAACATTAAAGACTATTTATGGAGAACATGACACTATTTTGGCAGGTGACTTGCAAATATTTGCTATCATTTAACTGGTGGGTTTTATTATCAACTGCCTTTGCAGATTCTTGCCTCTGATGTTATTAGGCAGGTAGAGCTAGCAAACGCTACACATTGAATTGCTATAATAGGTTTTCTAGGTATGAATATATTAATTAAGAAATGACTCAAAAGAGCTGGCATTGACTTAAACCTGATAAATCAAAATTCTTCTTTATGGGTGTTTAGTGCTTCAGGCTAGCCCTTTGTTAAAAAGAACAATTTCGTGAAAAATTGGATATGTCCACAGAATGTAGTTTGTGTAATGCATCTATTTTGTAAACATCCTGAAGGTACAGACTTGAAGGCATTTATGATTGCTGAAGTAATCATTATTATTGGTTACTTAACCATTATGGCAAGTATCCATAACCACACAATCAAATGAATTAAACCAGCAAAGTAACCTAAGTACCCCATCTGTCACAATGCTGACAACATATTTAAGCTATGAAAGTTTTGTTGGTCAATGCTTTTTAATAGTAACATGAAACTGTTGTCAAGCTTTAGGCTCTTGAAAACATTTAACTATGAGCCTCTGACTTAAAAGCCAAGAAAGTTGAGAAGTTCTGAGAGATTCTGTAAGGTGCATGAGGACCAGGTATTCCATCATAACATTAAACAGCTGAGATGGCTTCTGGCTCTTAGGGGATCAAAAACTGTGAGTGGGAGGTTGTGCGATGTTATTTTTAGTTCAAAACATGCAAGGAGTGACAAGAGAGTTGCCTTAAATATGCAACAGAACTACTCCACTTCCAATGCTTTGCTTAAGTTTCAAGTGGAGTTGCAATGATTTAATGATTTGAGTCAAAATGATCACATGACTTTATCAGATTTTTGCAAATACCCTGCAGTACATCAATGTTGATTCAAATTCAAAAAAACCTTGTTGCACTGAACTTATCTTATTATATAAAAACTTCAAACTTACCCTGTCAAGTCTACATAGCTTTTCTTCAGTTTTATCATCAAGAAACGGTTTAAAAGAGTCTGACAGTCTAAGCTCCCTTCTCAGTGCATCCACCACCTCTGATTCATTATACTTATTTGCACAGATGCAAGATGTTGGTAGAAGGCCTTCAATGATATGCGATGATGATCTTACAAGAACCCTGAAAAATGAATTTTAGAAAAATGAAATTCCAGAACTTTACTACAGTAGATAATGTAAAAAATTCATTTCAGTGAGGACAAAAAATTCTTCATCAACTCAAGCAACATCTGAATTCCTGTAGGTCAAACACATGAAAAGAAAAAATTAAGACTTTAATTTAGCTTTTGCTTGAGTATTTTATAACCTAGCATGGGTACATGTCTTTCTTAAGAGTTTTGGACTGAGCAAGGTTACTGCTATTTATTGGAATATCAAAGATACCTGTTACACTCTTTGTTTTATAAGAGCCATTACATTTAAACTTATAGGATTTAAGAAGTGTCATTGTCACCTTTCTCGCTCTAGGGATATGATCAGGCCTCAATTGCCAACAATGAGAGTGAGACAACCCTCATTTGCCAACAAGTTTGAATATTCACCAAAAAAGCACCCAAACATGGCTAAAAATCCTCGTTTTTGAGATAAAAAGTTGTTCAAAATTGCATCAGTAGCTCAGCCTCAGCTTGTTATCAATTTGTTCTTAACTTTTAGCCAATTTTGAGGCTTGTGTTCTTATAAAATTATTTTTAAAAAAGAGTGTATTTATAGCCATGCTTTAAACAGCTTCATAAAAAGCTGGCTATATAGCTATCATGGAGTAAATCCTTTTAAAAACTTTTGGTCAAAATGCTGCTAATTGTGAGAGCAAAAAACTGAAAAGAGTTTTAGAGATCTTTAAAAATTGCCAGCAAAACTTTCAGCTGCAGATTAGTTTAAGACCAATCATGCACAATATTTTTTAAAGTGTTGAGACTGCTTTGTAACATAAGAACTCCCACAAGCATTTGTCTTACCTAAAATACTCCTTATCTTTTAAGTATTCTTGCTTCAAACTCAGTATGACAGTTTTCAAATCATTATCAAAACAGTAATAGTTGTGGTGCTCTGTGTCCTTAAATGACATTTCATACACTTCTTCATTGTATTGTTCCAACTCAAATGGCTGATCAGCAATTTTATGGGGAAAATCTTTTATTATCATTATATTTCTGTGTCTTATACAATTGTTTTCTTTGCACTCTTTGGTGACGCACTCTATCCAGAAACTGTTTGTTGGTACAATTATGTCATTGCTCTTACAAAAGCAAAACAGCTCGTTTTGTAATTGAGGTTCTTGGGCTCTCTTCATTTGTTTTGGGGGCTGATAATGGCCCCTAGGGGATGCATATGGACTTGGATTTTGCAGCAGTGAGGTCAATCGTTCTTTTGAGTAGCCTTTAAAAGCCTTTAACTGCCTGGACATGCTGCAGTTGTTGTGACCACTCTCAAAGTCGCAATGCAAGATGCAGTAGAAGTGTTTACTCGAAGATAGGAAATAGTTCTGGATAGAAAGCTGGCGATGGCAGACGGTACATCTGAAGCAGTTTTTATGATACAAACAATTTTGTATTCTTCCGTGCATTCTGTTCAACGAAATCTTCTCTTCGTATGGTTTGAATAAAACACCGCAAAGTTTGCAGGCATCTTCGTTTGCGCTCCCCTCCATTATTGATAACTCCTTTCAAATCAAGTACATCCAAACTTTGTTGATTAGGTCTCCTTACCGTCAGCTTTTTGCAACTATTAAAGGCTTAGAGCTTCACGAGCTCTAAAATCAACACAACAATAACTCAATGAAGCGACACTCTATTTTGACCCATTTTCCGCCGGTTCATTTTGTAAATAAGGAAAAGATTGTCCCAGTAATGAATAACTCTTGACATACTGCCTAGGCCGATAGCGGCAGGCGGAGCTCAGGCAGACACTCCATGGTCAAAGGAATGTTAAAGCATTTTCAGGTCACCTTATGTACAGAAATGCTCTGTATGCATTTGAAATAAATGCAGCAGCTTGCTCTCAAGATCCAAGCATATTGTAAATAGCTCGATTTTTCAAAGGTGTTACCATGTTAGCAAATGGTCACCACCTGCAACCTGGATACAAATCCAATTGCTTTAAATGTTGTTATTCTGGAGGAGGTTGCCTGTGAATTTCCCATTCATAATAAGCAAAAATAAACATGTTACAGAAATGACATTTGCGGTAAACCATGGCAGATGTCGAGAAACCTTCATGTGATGTCAATATTAGCACATTAAGGCGAAATGATGGTTCTTCTGTTCGTACAAAGCACGAATTTTTCAAAATCTCCAGGACACAATGTAAAAATACGCAATTTCCACACTTTTCGAGGTCATTCTTATCACCCAAGGATAAAGCTTCGACTGCCTACTTATTAAAATGTGAAGTTCCAGCTCAATTCTATTCAATTCAATTCATGTATATTTTCAGCGTAATTAACTAAATACAGTATTAAAATAAAATTTTGATATTTTAAAGCTACATCAGACAGGCATACAAACAAGACGAATAACAATACATCAATTTAGCATAAGATTGCTGAAAGACATATGGAAAGAGCTCTGAAAGAGCTTTCGGGTCACTGAGAGCTCTGAAAGACGTCACTGATCAATCTTTTTTGAAGTTATGACATCACTGAATTCCAAGGGAAAGAAAGCAAAATAAAAAACTTTTTCAGGAACAAATCAATTAATTACATAGTTGTTAGGATACAATCATTAATAACAATAAAGATTACATTACAAGGCACAAAATAAGATGTTATTAAGATCAGCTGATGGATACATGGAAAAAACTCATGAAGAACCATGTGCCCAATTTGACGCGAAATGACGATAATTCAATATTAGTTTTGTTTGAATAATAACAGTAAGAATCAAAAATAACAATTTAAAAAAGAAAAACAGAAATCAAATAATAATGGTTTACAATATGCACAAATAATTCAATTGTGGGTGGATCTAAAAACGCCAAGAACGCTTTTCAAGTCGGTGTTCTCGTTAAAAGCTCAAATCTGTGAATACGGAATTTTACTAAGTTGATGAAGGACATGTTCATTCATGACAGCGTTGATATCTCGTGCAAACACGAACTGAACATTATGTTACGTCCCTCGAGCTTCCTTGATGTCCTTTCCTCTGATGGACATTCATCCAATTTTGACATCCGATGAACAAATGGCTCTCATTTTAAGGGCATTTTTTAACATACTCAGTGATGGGAGAATTGCCCCACCAGGTCCTCTGACTTCCCCCATCACTGACGGCCAAAAAGTTCCTTTTACCCCAAATACCTAGGCCATTGTGGGGCCCTTTCAAAAGAACTATGTGCCCAAAACTAATATTGAATTATCGCAGTAATGTAATTGTGCTAGTAAATATATCAACGAGGTGTTTTGGCGAAATGGTGCTAGGGGGTTGGGCCATAGACTATGGTTGGGCGCACTAACACTTGAAACATGACAAAATAGTGACAAACGTAATCCCTATTGTGTTTAAACAATCGATTTGTCACTTTTGTCTAATTCCTGAAGGTTCCGTCGTCCTGCCTCAAAGACGTAGGGACCGGGAGGGACAGGGGGCATGTCTCCCTCACTTTTCAAAACTTCAGGTAAAATGCCCCTTTGCAGCTTGCCAAGTTGCCTTTTTTCCGACTGCATAATCAATAATTGACCGTCAAATACTTAGGTGCTATACGAAATGAGCAAAGAGAGTGAGGGTTACCTCTTGGCATCATGATCTGAAATGTTTCTATGCGATCTGCATTTAGAAACACAAAAACCTACAAACTCACAACTAGGGCCACAGAAAGGTGGGGGCGGTGGCAAATTGCCCTAAGGCCTTAAGGATTAGGAGCTCCCTCGAGGCTTCCAGTTTAAGAAAGAAATAAGTAAGAGATAACAAAATTATGCCAAAAATTTTTACAACATTTTAAACAATTGCAAGAAAATGTCTCCAAAAATTTTCTGAAATGTATTTTGAGCTAATCTAAAAGGCATTTTCCCCAAAAAATTTCTGCTAGCCTCGTTCGCAGAAAGCCTCATCTTTTCATTTTGTCACAGGGTTTCAAAACCTCTCGACGACATCATTGTAGCCATGCTTCCAGAAACAGTCATTTTGAACCTTTCTGAAATTGTCGATTTCCCTCAGCTAATGTCTTTTGTAAGAGCAAATCTTAACAGAAAATATGTCTTCAAGAAATATGTGTGAAACATCCCATTTAGCTATCGCATCAATACCTGGATCACCTCGTTCTTTTAGAGAAAACGGAAGCATATGACAATTTGATGCACCGTACAATTTTTTTTGTGAGCGTGGCCCCTTTTTGAGAAATGCCCACTGCATAAAAATCCTTAAAACATGCCCTTTCTCGTTTCCTGACTTTGATGCAATGCATATTCAAAAGGTGCCTATTTTGTCTTTTGTCTATTTTCAAAAGGTGCCTATTATGGTCAAATTGCTTTGCAAATCGATTTTTAGTTCTTATCAAAATTGAAAATATTGACTTTTGTCTTGTTATCAAGGTATCAAGAGATGCTTGAAAACCTAGATTTTATTTGCATTGAAAATATTTATATGAATTAATATTGATCGGAAATAAATTTCTTGAAAAGGGCACTTTGCTGCCTCCGCTGCCCCCGTGGCTCCAGCGCCCTTGGACGTTATGCTTCTTAAATGTTTTTGTAAATACATATATTTATTCATGTCAGCAGCATGGCCATTACATAAAATGTGCAACTGTGTGTTCTGATGGAGCAGGTTATGGAACGCCATGACTGCCTTATGTTATGCACTAAAATTGTGTTGTGTCACCTAATCATTGCCTTCTGTCCAGGGGCGGCGCTTAGGGGTAATCAAGGTAATCGCTGATTACCTATTTTTTTCCAGAACTTGAAAAAATTATGCTTAAACCTAAACTGAAGTATTTTTATATTACGACCACAATGAATGTTATAAAGTCTTGATTGAACCTGTTGTGAATCGAAATCCATAAGGACAAGCTCGTCCAGGGGCTGTTTTACGGCGTGTTGACATTTAGATCTTTATTTGTTTTGGCTTTTGTTTCATGGCAGGCGATAATTATTTCTTAATCCTCTGACGCATGTTCTTTTTGCTCAAACGAACGCCAGAACTACGAGAACCGCGAGGGCCGAGAAGCTGCAAGGTAATCAGATCCCTGTTTGATGACCTTTTCGTTGTTTCTGTACAGAGGCGGATCCAGCTGAAAATCTGAGGGGTGCTTAAGGGCGTTGCCTTAATAGCCATAATAATGCCACACCCCACTTTTACTTAAGGTTAAATGAAGGCAACACCCATCTTGATAAATTAATCCTTTTTAAATTCAGGTATTAAAGCATAACTATATAGAAAATTATATCTTTTGTTAGAAGCCTATTTGCTAGCAATGCTAGTTAAAAATAACACTGCTACCTTCGCAGTTTTTACATGACATTACTCAATGAATGACATTTTAGGTCGTTAGTCAATATTTGATTGCTCTGCAATATTCAGACGCTGGTTCGTTTTTGTAAAAAGGCAGCTAAAATGTTTCAAACAAAAAAAAGCAAAATGAATCATTGCTACGTTAACTTACCATTACTATACGAAAATTGAGTTAAATATCATCTATTATAATTAAATGAGCATACAAAATGTTTGCCAAGCAGCTTTCGAAAAATCTAACAAAATTTTAACGGATGATAGGTAAAAGTTACGATGTATTATGATAGCATTGAAGAGCTTGTTTCCCTGTACTACAAAGGCTCTGCGTTAAGAATGTCTAACAGCTTCATTCGCCTAGGATGCATTCGTGCAAATATATCAATCACTTTGTCTCTATCAATGTGAACAGCTCTATGGACATAAAGAAGTGCAAGTGAATTAAGCCTCTCCTCAGCCATCGTACTACGCAAATATGTCTTGAGACGTCGAAGAACGGAAAAAGACCTTTCACAAGAACAAGAAGTCACAGGTAAAGTAGCCAAGATTTGCATTGCAACGTAGATGTTTGGAAAGGTCAGCTTATCGATCATGGGCATAAGAGATTCTAATGATGAAGGTGGTGTTTGCTTGTGACCTTTCCAAGTTTCTTCCCACATAGCTAGCTCGGTCTGGAGGAACCGTGGTTCTGGCAAATCATCGATATAAAACGAAAGGTAGGCTTCAAATTTGGACTTCCAATCTGGGTGCGCAAGTACATTAGAGGGTACGGCATAAAAGCCATCAAACGCTGCTATATTTCTGTCGGAAAACCGGACAGATATTTGATTTATCAAATGGTCCAAAAATGGAACTGAAAAGGAGAGGCGGTAATATTCCGTAACAGTGTCAGATGGCATATTGTTGCGATGGATTTGCTTTGAAGCAATCCTGGGCTTATTTGGGACAGTTCCGAATGACAAAGCAATTTTTTCAGCTTCCCTGTACCACACCTCGTGGTAGTTGATAATATCTCTGCGCATCTTATTTAGCATCGTAAAAAGAAGAGCGATTTTCTCTTGGCACTTAACAACGTCCATTGTTGGAGTTTGGAGCTGTTTTGTTAATGGTCTTGTGACCTCTAAACATCTCGAAACAACAACTAAAGATAAGATGAACCCGAAAGAAGTTATGGAAAGCACTAAGGAAGAAGCATCTCGCATTGACTCCGGGCTCCAAGACTTGTCAGCATTGTCCTGGATTGCTTCAAGAGCAGCAACAACTGCTGCAAAAATCTGGATGAACACATCAAGCCCGTCAATTCTAGCAACCCAGCGCGTACGACAGACATCAATGAGCCTAGTATGTGATGCATGCGGCAATAAAGCTCTCACCTTATTCTTCAAAACGCCGAATCGTTTCGGATGACAGTTGAAAAAGTCAGACACAACACGCACATTTGCCATCATTTTTTTTGCTTCTGGAAGGTCACAAGTTGATGCAACACATAAATTCAACACATGTGAGCGACAGTGAACATACTTTGCCTTCTGGTAGGTCTGCTGTATCCTAATAGCAGCACCCGAACACTTTCCTGCCATGTTCCCCGCACCATCATAACCCTGACCACGACAATATTGCATATCAAGGCCCATGCTTAGAATCCCATCTTCGATTGTTTTTGCAATAGATGCGCCAGAAAGGCCATTGACACAAGGAACAAAACCCAAGAATTCTTCCCTTATATGCGAGTTACTGTCAACAAATCTCAAAACCATGGCCATCTGTTCAACATTACTTATATCTGCTGCTTCGTCTGCAAGGATGGCAAAGAATTTTGACACTTTGACCTCATTTAAAATTTTCTCTTTGATAAGAGAGCCACATATCTTGATAAGCTCATTCTGAGTTGTCTTGGACTGGTATGTGGCATTAGCTGGTGGAAATGCAAAATGCTGATTGAAGGTAGCGTTTTTACCACATTTTGCTAAAAGTGCCAGAATAGCATGCAGATTACCAGGGTTATTACTTTCTACAAGACAATGCTTCGCATCATCTCGATGGCCCCTCAAACCAAGATTTTGTTGCCCACAAGTAATAACCCCTTCCAATATAATTTTCAGTATTTCCCTGTTAATGGCAATTTGCTTTGATACTAGGGAATTCAATTGAACATTAACT